TTCCTTCCTTCCTTCCTTCCTTCCTTCCTTCCTTCCTTCCTTCCTTCCCAATATCCAAGAATGGCTTATAATTCCTGTTGTTGTACAGATTGGCCGTTCTCTCAGCATCAAATTTAGGAGAGTTCTTTTTCATTATCATCAAGTAAGTCCAACAAGGTTAGAAATTCATGGCTGGAGGCTGAACAGTTAAACATTTAAAACTAACTAGCATAGCGGTAACTTTTATTATTGATACCTAGAGATCGAAACTAAAAAAAAAGTGACTTCATAAGCCTGTACTAAACAAAGGAAGAAATGTTGCTTTTGCTGCCTCTCTGTTTGTGTGTGTTTGTGTGTGTGTTTAGCGTTGTGATGGGAGTCGTGCGGTCTTAAGAGGATGAAAAATTCCTGCCTTCCTTCCTTCTGGGCTAGACATAATTGAGCCCACCTGGACCTGAGCAGGTTAGGGAAGCTGGACCCAGGGTGCATTAAACGCTGGTGTTGAATTATTTATGCTTTTGGCTTGGCTGGGGAAGTTTTGTCTGCAGAAGAAAAGTGAGGCCATAAATCAATCAATCAAAGAGCCAAGTGAGGGGATAGCAGAGCACAAGTGGTTATTTGCTGTAAGTTGCAGAAATCCAGATGGCAAAGAAAGAACTCAGCCAGACATGGAAGATAGGAACACGAAGGAGCCGACAGCCACAGGTCTGAAATCTGGGCCGGCCGTGTTGACTTCTGGAGCAAGAGAGGGGAGCCTGTGGGGGTCTCCAAGCATTGAGTGGACGGAGCTCGTAACAAAAACTCCAATTCACTCCGTGGTGGAAGGCATTGAATCCTAGTCACACTGAACACCACCTGGGGAAGTGCGCTGGGCAGAAGGAAGAAGAGTGCTCTCTTTTCCTGAGGTGCCCCTTCTTCTAATTGTCAAATATTTCTTGGGGCTGCTAATCAGTAAAACCGAGACTGTGGGAGACTGTGTGAAACCGGTGATCGGACTGTGAATAGAATAGAATAGAATAGAATAGAATAGAATAGAATAGAATAGAATAGAATAGAAT